CGCTTGCTAAGCTGTCCGCACTCGCGTTCCAATCTCGTTTAACATGTAACAACTCGTGATCTGGCCACGTACGTAGTCGGCCCAGAGCCTGCTGGCGCAGCAGTGTCAAACTCGGTGCCTTACAATCGATCTCACCTCGTACTTGTCGGATCACCAAGTTCGGGTCCCCACAGATCACTAGACGTCGTGGATCCAGATCTTCCAACAGATCCAAACACAACAACAATCCATGATATTCGGCTTCGTTCACTGTTAGTCCTTCAGCGTAACCAGATCTGGCCTTTAGCACTCTCCATTCAGGCAATTTCCACAGGATCGCGCTGTAGGCGCCTCCACCTCTCTTTACACGGGCGGATCCATCGAAACTGACGACGTACAAATTCTCGTCGCGTCTAATAGTGGGGATCGGAGCCTGGATCTTGCGCCGTGGCTCCTTCTTAGGGGCAATCGAAATTAGCGCCTTATCCACCTGTGATCTAGACGTAATGCTCGCCGCCAATGCTCTCAGGGTATCATCTTCCCCTTTGACGAACTTAGTGATCTCGAGCGTCCATGGCGACGGTAGAGCAGCCCACTGACCTAAACGTCCCTGCAAGGCTTTGGATCTGAAGAGCAACGCCAAAGTAGAGTGTCGGGTCAACACACGGATCGGACGCCCGACCAGCGCATTATAGTTAAGATCCAGGATCCTCAGAAGGGCTAACACCTCTTTCTCCGCTATGCCATAATTAAGCTCATTTGACTTCAGAGTGCGGCTCGCAAACATCACGGGGTAGTAGATCTGGTCGTTATTCCTGCATCAATGACCCCGAAATCGCCCAATTACTAGTATACATCACGACTGTGGCTCTCCGATCTGGATCAAAGTGCCGTAAGATCGGAGTAGTAGCGATCTTGGCTTTAAGTACATTGAAGGACCGATAGGCATGGATCCAACGCGGATCCACTTCAGTGAGATCTTGCGCCTCTAGATTCAAGGTTTTCCGGCGGTCGATCACTTGATCTTC